ATTATCACATTTTTGGCCGTCATACCCTCCGATTTTCTTCGAGTGACTGTTGATTCAGATAACCTATAAGGTATTTCCAACTGAACACTGTTGTAGAGTAGTTTTTTACAGTGGAGGCTTATATTTCAATAAGATGGTCCTAAAAAGGGTCCGACGTACAAAACGTTAGGAACTTGAAATAAGAGTTAATGACGCAGCAATCTAGTTGTGATGGTTGATACTTCAATGTCCGACATCGACTGACTCGCTCAACTCCACTGAGCCCAACTGTTGACTGCTACTACTACTACTACTTATTATGTGTGGGAGAGTCTATTAATAATAGAATAGGTACGTTCAGGTATGACAATCATCAAGAGCATTTTTAATATTGATCAGTTATTGCTTGCCTTGTTTCTACTGCCCGAGTCTGTACTACTCTGTCCAGGGGTTGAACTCACGATTAATAAGATGGAGCGCGTATGTCTAAATTTGAATAACGTCAGCTGACATGCTCAGGCGTCGAAAAATAAACAGGCGAAACGAAGAATGCTGAGTTGCTATGTAATATTTTCCTTTCTATGTCGGAAAGAAAGCTGGAAATTTATTTATCACAGACGGAAAAATGGCTTGAGACAACTGAGATGTGGCTCTTCCGATGTTGAGAAGACTATAGACAGGGCATGCGCGAAAAGTAAGGCTTGAAGATTTTAACACGCGCAGGGTAGATCGCTGGAAAAAGAAGTCGATGAAAAGCATCGAGTTGGATCAGTTTTATAAAGGAACAATTAGCACAACAATAAAAAGGAATTATTAAAGAGGAATTATGGATGAGATCTGAAAAACAAAAAAAAGGAGGTTGTAGAGAACTTCAATCACCCATGTCGTGATGGGATAAACTACACAGAAATAGAGAGGGAAGATAGAGAAAGAGAAAAAAGAAGAGAGAGAGAAAGAAAGATATGACAATTGGATGTCTACTCAAACACGTGTACCTACTATCAGGTCATCCCATAAGTTCTGTCTGAATTTTGAATAAAGAAAACAAGTGACCAAATGTTACATTTAATTACAGATTCAATCAACAATGTATTTTCCCTGATTATCTATGACTTCCTTCCATCTATTAACAAGCTTACTAATTCCATTACTGTAAAATTCTTTTGGCTTTGATTCGAAGAACTCACAAATGTCAGTTTTAACATCTTCCTGTGTTACAAAATCTGTTTCTTCCAAATGATTCTGTAAGATACGAAACAAATGGTAGTCTGAACGAGCAAGATCGGGAGAAGAAGGTGGATAAGGAATTTTCTCCCAACCAAGTTCTTCGATCTTTTGTGACGTGATTCTTGCTGTGTGTGGTCGCGCATTGTCCTGATGAAACATCACCCCTTTTCGATTCACTAGAGCAGGTCTTTTTTTCCTCAAAGCTTGGTTCAAATGCTCTAATTGCTGACAGTATATTTGAGCATTAATTGTTGCATTAGATGGTAAGAATTCAAAGTGGATTATTCCTTGGCGATCCCACCAAATTGAAAGAAGAACCTTTTGCCCATGAAGTTCCCTTCTTGGCTGTGGCTGGGGTTCTTCCCCTTTACTAAGCCACTGTCTACGACGCTTAACATTTCGATAAAAGATCCATTTTTCGTCGCCAGTCACAAGTCTATCCACAAAAGGTGAAACAAGTTGGCGTGAATGGAGAGAAGAGCAGATGTCAACTCCGGATTTGAGGTTGTTTTCAGACAATTCATGAGGCACCCATTTTCCAAGTTTAGGAACTTTTCCAGGTTGTTGAAGATGACGATGAACAGTTGTATGGTTTGAACTGAGAACCACTGTCAATTCCTCAACTAATAAAGCATGATTTTCTTCAAGGGCTGATTCAAGAAGCTTTTCATCAAACTCAACTGGACGTCCGGTTCGATCTTCATCTTCAAGGGTGAAATCTCCACCTCTGAATTTTGCAAACCATCTTCTGCAAGTTCTTTCATTCACACATTCCTCTCCATAAACTAAGTGAATGTTTCTATCCGCTTCGGCTGCTGAGTTTCCTTTCTTGAACTCATAAAGCATTATGTGCCTCAAATGATTCTTGGGTACTCCATGTTAGCAGGATTTTAATCAAACAAAATTTAATTTTATTGTTCTCTGAAATAAAATTTGATCAGTTTAAATGCATCTAAACATAAAAATGATGTTCAGCTCCATTAGACATAAAACACTCTTTAAATTTCGTTCATTTTAAAAAAAGGTAAAATTCGAACAGAACTTATGGGATGACCTGATAAAAATAACGTTTACAGTAATATGAAATATTCCTCTTTTTATCGCAACTCTCGGACTCTTTTTCTATTCTGTAACCGTTAAGTAACCGACGTGATTCGAAAAAAAAAATTCGCCGATCACGAGATTTGAACCGGTGTTCTAGAGCAACGTCTTAACGATTAGACTACAGAAACTTTGATCTTCAACCTTGATTATCATCGATCTTCAAAAATTTAAGTGCAGTTATCAATCGTTATCTTCTGTCTTCTTAATCCCTGTACTTTCATTATTCTCTCTCCTTAATAGTTTTTTTTTCTCATATTCTCTCACACTCAGTAACCACTTGCGTCTTAGTGGATTTCTCACCTTTCTTGAGGTAAATGAGTTGTTTTTTTTAAAAAAAAGAAAAAAAAAAAAGAAACCCTCCAGCAGGTCTTAGCTTTAGTCATTCTTCCTTGTCAGTTATTAATTTACGTTCGTATAATATCAAAACGACATGAACATTACAATACAAAGCAACCTAAACAAAATGAAAGTAAATACTCTAACAAAATTCATAATAATGGTTTACTCCGTGTTGTATATCTTAATTACAAAGACCCCCCCCACCATAGATTTATCACAGCTCCTATTCTTAATAACAGTAGCAATAGTAGTAGTTGTATAAGTATTTTTTTTTAATTCCTCCTTGTCAAAATGATTTCACCATCAGCGCAATTATACAACGAGTTGAATACAAAGAACCGGAAGATGAACAAAACTGAATGCCGGGTAGAAAAAATATCAACGATATCTCGTGTAATTCGGCCAATTAGCTTCATTTGAAAAAATGAATTGGAAAATCCGTTATACACGAACATGAAAAGCTGCAAGTAAACAACATCTACAAAATAATGTCATGGTTTTGTTTTGTTTTCTGCTTAACGGCCCTTCAACCACTATAGAACTATTTAAGGTCAGATAGATGTTTTTGAACCGTGTGTTGTTTCGGGTATAGCTTAATGTTATATGTGGTTCAGTGATAGTTTTGGCTACAGGTTAGTTGGTGAAAGTTTTTTTTTTTTTTTTTTTAATAAGTTATTAGAGATGCTGGTTTCTTATATGTGATATTTGTGTTCAGTTTCTGATACAAGTTGGTTATTAGAGTTTGTATTGTTCAAGAAGGAGGCTTATGCTTAACATCAGGAAGAGGCAGCTGAAGTTTCTGGGACACGTAATGAGAAAGGAGGGCCTGGAGAATCTGATACACACAGATTGAATAGAGAGAAAGAAAGACAAGTGAAAGCAACGCATGACATACCTGGCAGGCACTTAAACAGAAAGAAATTATTATTTTTAGGGGGTATCTTTAAAAAGTCTGAAGGATTATTTTTCCTTTCGTTTTTCAGTTCCGAAAATATATTAAAGGTTTTTATGTAATTTGGTGGAGGAAGCGGGGTTATAGTTTTATATTTTGGTATAAAGTTTAATTTCCTTTAAGAGGTTAAGGATATTGCTTGGTTTAACGTTTTGAAAGAGTCCTTTTGTATTATTTTCTTGATAATATTTTGTTTTTAGGCTTGACTGAGACGATGGCAAATAGTGATTATATAGCCGACTGTGAGAAAACGAGAGAATTTCATTTTTTTAGTAGATGTGAGTGTGTGAGATGTGTATATCCCTTTCAGAATCTGGATAAAAACTATTCCTCTCGTTTTATTTTCCAGTCATACTTACAAAGAAAATGGTTCATACAGTAAGAAACGAAGAAAAAAAAACACTTTTGAAACATCTTGAAGTTCTTTGAATTCTAGAATCCTTGTGATGACTAAATTAATATCTGAACAGAAGGCGTCAGACCCTTATTAACACTGCTACAATTACTGTAATAACAACTATTACTACAAATAGTAATAATGCAGATAAATATAATTCTATTTGTAGAATTTAAATTATAATTATCTGTAAAGGCTAATTAGCACTTAGCTTTTAGAATTCTTTTTTAATTATTATTTTTATTTAAAAAAATATTAACAATTCTGTAATTAGCATTTAATAGTTATGAAGTTATCTCCCTTTGATATACATTTTTTTTTACAAACTATGCTTAATTAATTACTAAAATTAAAATCTTAGAAACTGGTAGCCCTATTGGCTAGGTAAGGTTAAATTACAATATGTCAACCCCTTTTACATTTTTTAATGCTGAATCTTGTTTGCTGTGCCCTGTGAGGATCGATCTTACTAGCCAGTAATAATGATTAACCGAACTAGCCAAGCTAACTATTACCCAACGCCTAGAGATCCCAGTCTACTCTACTATTTAATCCATTGGTCTTGGGAAGGCGATTTGATACATATCTTTCCCTAGGCAGCAAGTGAAGGGAGGCTTTTTCGCTAAACATTACCCCGTGCTGAGGCGCTTGGTGGCCTGAATGCATTAAACATTTTTTATTCTTCCAGCTCGGACATTCTAATGATACTGTGATAAGAAACATTGCCCAATGACGTGTCGATTTTGTTGTGCTGAGGTAATAAACCCTAAAATGTCAAACAGAAATCGGGCATCTGTTGTATAAATAAAATTAGGTCAGTAATACATGCCTTAATCCCACGCTTGATTTTTAATACGCATTATACAACCAAAGTATAATATGCATTATACATCCAGAGTATAATACGCCTTATACAGCCTAACTATGCGCAACAAATTAAACATTGCAAATAAAACCATTGGTTAATCCTCATTTTTTAAATACAACCAAAAGCGTTTAAGCTTACGGCCACATCACGTTGAAACATCGGTTCCCGTATAATCACCGAAGTTAAGCAACATCAAGACTGGTAGGTACTTAGATGGGTGACCGCTTGGAAATACCAGGTGCTGTAAGCTTGGATGTGCAGGTGGTGTAATAGATAATGTCTCAGAAATATTAATCGGAGGGCCGAGTTCCAATTCCAGTTGGGTTCGTTATATTCACTTACGCGCTTGGGAACGATATAAATAGACCTCTTCTACCTCCAGATATGGGTTAATTACTAAGAATTGTATCACTAAGCTATTATTATCTTTAAAAATGAATTCTGGCTTTAAATAACTTGAAAAGGGTTGATAAGCCGTAGAAAATGAAAAGGGGAGAATTGTTTAGTTTTTGTTTGGGGGAGAGAGGTAGTAAAGCATATGAGAATCAATAAGAAACGGTGAATCTAGGTATTTTTTGAATGTCCCTTAAAAACACAACCGAACATGACTCTCTTTTCGTTTATTATTTGTAAAATGCCATGACTTAGTGAATTGGCTTTGCGTGGTTTTGAATTCCGAGTGGCTCTCCTACAACTCAAGGCTAGTAAGCCCAGTCTACGCATATTTGGGAGAGAAAAGATGAATTCATGGCTTTCTCAAGACCATTAAATGCGGAAATGAAAATCAAGACACTAGTCGGATTTAAAAGTTTGGTTTGGTTTGTGTAACGGCATATCAACTCCTTATGACGAAATTTGATTTTCTTGTGAGCTTTATTAAAAAAAATTTTTTAAAAAATGTATTGCTGGTAATTTTTAGTTCTTTTACTATGAAAATGTATTGCTGGTAATTTTTCTAATGTATTTTATATTTTTATGTTTTGACTCCCACATTTGCCCATGGTTGGGACCCTAACTGGATGAGGGTGGACCTAGGAACAACTGCAATTAAGCGATGATTGCACACTCATCAAAGTCTCCTGATCAGAAGACTTGCTATCGGATATAGCTTATCGTCATACCCGAGACAAAATATAAAAAAGTCGATTCTAAAAGAAAATAAACCTGATGAGTATTTCGTTTTTCGTCACCGTTACTGACCTCTGCGGGATTTATTGAATAAATCCAACCAGTGATATATATATATATATATATATATATATATATATATATATATATATATATATATATATCAATGAGAAACAATAAGAAATGTCGAAGGTACATATTTTTTTTTAAATGTCATGTCCCTTCAGAATGTAGGCGATCATAATACCCTGTGGATTCAGCATTCTATGACCTGCAATGTGACATGCATTTTTGGAAACTATGGTGGAGTAGTTTCCCGCCGCCTACCTAGGGTTTGGAATTCGGAATTGTCCTTTCTTTTGACTGAATGTTAGTCAAAATTAGAGATCCCAGGGGATCTCAACAGAAATTTTTTTTTAATCGGGTTCACCCCAAGCAAGGCAGTAAAGCCACTTAGACACATGGAGTTACTGGGTTTTGAAGAATTAGAAACAGAAATATTACTACTAAGCGAGAATAAAAAAAGAGTAATCAGGAGGACAGTAGATAACGATTGACATTGCATCTAAATTTTTGAAGATTAAAATTGGCTGGAGAGTATGCAGCCGGAAGGGCGTTCCACAAGCGAGAACAAAAACTGTTAGCATAGCTCTTACGGTTACGTCTAACCAGCTCAACTTTAAATTGATGAGATTACGACGGCAGTCTAGTGCTACGCTTAAATTCAAAAAATCTAGGTACTATAACGAAGAGTGATATTTATTTCCGCTTCAAATACAGAAAATGTGGCACAAGGCCAAAAATCGGGAATGGGGAAAAGGACAGTTTTCTTCTGTTTTAAATTTAAACTTAGCTAGCCACAAACACTGACCCAAACATACCACAATATTCCTAACACCTAAACAACATTCTTACTATAACGAAGAGCGATATTTATTCTGTTTAATACACAGAAATGTGGCACATGGCCGAAGGGGGTATTGACGAAAAGACGGTCTTCTTCTGTCTTAACTCTAACTTAGCTAGCCACAAACACTGACCTAAACATACCACAATATTCCTAATCACCAAAACAACACATTCTTACTATAGCGAAAAGCTTATCCGAACAATTACCATGAAAGTATTTATAGAAAAGACACAGGGAAGCAACCTTACGGCGGTGGGAAAGTGAATGGAGCCGAGCCGCCGGATCAGGATAAATAATACTGCTGATTCTTCGTTGAATTTTATCCAGGAACTCTAGATAAATAGAAGGAACACCGGACTATATATGGCAGCAATATTCTAAGCATGTGACAAATGGTCAAATTTATAAGATATGTATGAAATATTCTGGAGAGAAAAATTGTCTCGCACAGCACAGGAAACCAACTTTCTTAGCGTTTAATGTTACTATTTAAATATATGTATTGTTCTCTTCTTTTTTTAAAATGAATGCTTAGGTTATATGTAAAGCCTGAGCTAAGTGACCATTAGCATCCTGATGAAAAGCTGGTTGATTTTGTTTCGTGACATATCAACCTCTATGGGTTATTTAAAGCTGAAATCTAAATATTTCGTACGTAATTTTATGTTTTCAACTACAGGTATTTTGCATAATTGTATACTTTCAGGGTAAATGTATGATTTTAAATATATAGTTTGTAGATCATAAAATGTATTGTTGATAACTTTACTATAAAAATGTATTTTTCTATTTTTAGTGGTGCATTGTCAATTTGCTATAAAATGTATTGATGGTCATTTTATTATAAAATGTACTGTTGATTTTTGTTTGGGGGTTCACTATTTGCCCATAGCTAAGACCCGAACAAGTACTACCACCCCGGGTCAGAGTAAACCTGAGAACAACAGCAGTTAAGAGCTGGTTCCACGCTCCTCAAATCCTCCAATCTCCCGATCAGAAGCCTTGCTGCCGAATGTAGTTTATCGTCATACCCACGACGCCTGAAAAAGAAGACATCAGCTATCACTATTATTGATTGCGTCAATAAATGAACGAGGCCCACATGTGATCTTTGCTTATTTCCTTTAAGCAAAGATCACATGTCGAATGGTCTATTTGTTGGGTTTAAATAATCGCGAGTCCATTCGAACTGCAGTTTAAACAGTAACGTCATAGAACAGTTATTCTCCATCGCCGTGCCACGGGACACTCGTGATGCTCTTAAGTGGACCGTGAAATATTGTCACTGCATACATATATATGTGTGTGTATGAAAATAGTTACCGTACAGCGTTAGTATTTGAATAAATGCATAAGCATTAAACTTTTCTTCAAATAATTCTTTTCACTATAATTCTATTATGAAGAATTAGCCACCATTTCCAGTGATCGAGGGTTCAACATAAAACATTCAACGATACCCATTGATATATTTTGGATTTCAATACAAAAAAAAATATCCCACATAAGCTAAAAAGGCTTTATCATTTTTATTGCAATTATCTACTTCTGATTCATGCTAATTAAGCTTCTCAACCCTAAATGACACCAAAAATAAGAAGCGAGAAAGACTACGCTCATCTGTAGAAAAATGAGGGTCTGCTTATCGCATATTCGACCAAACATGGAAGAAATTGGGAAAAAAATAGTAGGCACAGATTTCACACTAAATAAGATGCACAAATAGTTGAATAGAAACATTAAAATAAGTTCATATTTGTGCGTGCATTTTTTAAAATCAATGGTTTTATTTCATAACACTGAAATGTATGCCCTTTAAAAATTTTGCTAAGTGTGCCGTGATATTTTCATTTGCTTTTAGGTGTGCCGTTGCTTAAAAAGGTTGAGAAACACTGTCATAGCGAATTGTCAAAATAACGCATTTCTTACAGTATGTAATACACAAAACATTTTCTTTTTTTACTACTGGAACTCATTGGCTGTGGATGTGCAGGTGGTATAAAGTTTAGCGGCCTTAAGCCTTTAACCGGCGAGACGAGTTCGAATTCCAATCGAGTTTGTTACTTTCGCTTTTACGCAAATACATTTCGGTTAAGGTATAAATCCATCTCTTTCCCGCCACCCCTAGCAATGGGTTAAATAGTAAAACAAACTGAGAAATCTAGCCATGGTTGTCCACCAATTTAGAAAAAGGAGAACTGAATTCAAAGTTCTATAGTGCCCTTGCGGAGCACATACTGATTATTTTCGCCCTCTCTAACCTTCTAACTTTCTGTCCTGGAGTAACAAGGTGCCTCCCACAGGTTTCATGTACGATTTCATTTTGGACTGTCATGGGTGAAATTCTTCTCTCAAGTGCCAAACGTTTTATGGATTAAGTTGGATCTTTTCTAATTGATATCTTTAGCTCTAAGTTGAAATGATGATCCCTCTTTCTGTTCTGACATTCTGATCCAGTTTTCCTCTCTACTGTTCCCTCTTTTTAAAACTTATTCACCGTTCTCTTGATGGTTCTTGAATGGACTTTGAAGATGAAAGCTAGAGTATGAATATTGGTACCATTACTGAAGCCCTGAATAATCTTTTTCCTCTCACTATTGATCATTTGAGAAGACAGGGGGTCTGATATAAAACGATTTTAACCTGTTCTCTTTTTAGCTGAATAACTCAAAGGGTTTTTCAGTGATTCTTACGGCAAATGGTATCAAGATCGCTAAACGTCTCATCTGAAAACCCGGAAAAAAAGAAACACAATTAGTTTAATGGGCTTTTAGATATTAAACATTTTGTGGGATGGACAATGATGCTGTAACACAATTTGGACAATTTTACTGTTACATCCGGTATGTAGCTACATCCGGAGTAGGTCACTTGAGAATATCAAATACTGACATGATAACAGCTCGAAATTAGAAATGGGAGAACCGAGTTCTAATTCCACTCGGGTTCGTTATATTCACTGAATGTTCGAGAAATTTCGTCGAAAATATGCGTTCTCCGATAAGAATCGAACCTGTATTTCTATATGGAAACCGTCATTTGATCTGACGAGCAAAATCATTTAGCTCCAGAGAAGCATCTGGTTAGCAAATTTCAAATTACATTCAGGCCGGTAATACTGTTTAATTAAAAACAGAGCATTTACTTAAATAAATTGTCTCCATTAGAATAGCGTATAAACAGAAAATATAGTAAATAATTTTCGGACTT